ATCCTCTTGCAAAACTAAACTAAAGAATCTTTTTCTACCAAAGTTTCTGCTGTATGCACAGACATGCCACGACATTTGCAACAGCTTTTGTTAATTTCTGGGCTCCTCTCCAGAGGAAAAACAAACCAACCCACCCCACCTGAATTAACTGGAACTGGGATCAGTAATGTAGGATATTCCTCCAGTAACTGTGACGATATTACACTGGGAGCAATCCAAATTTGGCTGATGCTTTTTGTCAGTACATCCCATCTCCCTGATGAAAATATCATGGTCTTTAAAACCCTGGCAAAAATTTGCCTAAGACTAATAAACAAGGCTGCTGATGAAATGGTGCTTACTTGACTCTTTAAGGCCCTTTTTTTCCCCACTAGGCACTGTCGCCTCTGCTACTCTGTGAAACTGGAAATTCAAGTTCATGGGGAAGAGCGAAATAAAGCAATATGAAACACACTTACATCCATTATGAAGTCCTGATATGGTCTAAGTGGTTCTGGACCCAGAGCTCTGGTTAACTCTTCCCGGTGCTTCACTAAAAAAAGGCCAAGGTTTTTTTCTTCTTTTGAGATTTTCAGCCTCAGATCAAGGTTTGTGACATCATCCTTCACCTTGAACAACGATGTCAGAACAGTCATCGGTTTTGGACACAGATTTTGAATATTTTTAGTGACTCTGTCAAATTCCTCTAAACTTCCATCAAGTGGTAGACCTAAAGGGATACACACAAAAACATATTTTTGTTAGTACGAAATGTGGGTGTTAACACTGAAAAAAAAAAATTAACCTAACTTATTTCTTGACAAAACCAAGTTTTATCTCGCTTTGCCACGCTGCAGTTCTGTTTGTGTGGGATACAGGAGTAGGAAATCCATCTTTGTTTCACTTTACCTATGTATTGGGCAATATCCAGCTCATACATGAGGCGAACCAAATGATTTACATGGTTTCCAAGAAGAATTTTTTTCAGTTCCACCCAAATCCTTTCTCCTGATATTCCAGCCAAACCTTTGGCGTTTTCTTTAATTGCTTGCAGTGTACTAGGTTCATGATCACCAGGTTTTTCTGCGATTCTTCCATAAAACCTGCCCAAATAAAATGTCTGAATGTTAGATTAAGAATAATTATTCCATTTATTGCAGCTGTTCAGAGCATCAGTGTCATGACAGTGTTAAACATTCTAACTTATAATAACAGAGAAAACTTAACAACAGGACACTCACAACTCTTTTTACATCACTGATCTCTTTTTGTATGGTTCTGAAACTTTCTACAAAGCTTACTTTATTTCTTTATCTAGGATAGTACCTGAAATATCTTAGGATTCGTAAATAGTCTTCTTGTATTCTCTCATTTGCCTTTCCCACAAATCTAATTTTCTTATTTTCCAAGTCTTCATATCCATTAAAAAAATCATACAGCAGCCCATCCAAACCTAGAAAAACAACAAACAAACAAAGAAGAACATGAAATTACAAACATGGTTGGCACAATTAAACACTTTCCTTTGAAAATACAGAAGACGAGTTGTGTGATTTGATCTGGTTTGTCAGATCATCTCACAGATTTGCACAGACCTTTCAACTGACAGCAGGACAAACAACCAACATTGAAACAGACAGAGAATTTACCAGCTTAATTTGAAAAGCAGTGTTTCAGCTAAATATTTGCTTTTGTACCTAAAAACATGGAATTGACAGTCAGATCCCTCCTTTCGGCATCCTTTTCCCAGTCAGTGGTGAATTCAACTTCTGCGTGTCGTCCATCGGTGACGACATCTATTCTAAGAGTAGTAATTTCAAAATTCTGTTCGTGGAGCTGAAAATCCCACAGACATTGTTACTTCAACACAATCATGAATGTAAAAGCAAAAGCTGTACATCTTTTCAGTTTGTTAGTGCTCAGGTTGGATACATGCAGACCAACATGTGCCACGTTTTCATACAGAACAGAGAATCAGGAAATACAAACACAGCAGGAAATACAAAAAATAATCCTTGTGTTATTCATTTTCTAGATAGCCTGCAGAAATCTCCCCGCAGAAGATGGAATAGGAGGCAGAGGAACAAGCAAGGTAGAGGAAGCAAGACTTGGGAAATCAGGAGCAGGAAACATTAGGATCAACTTCCCCACTTTATCTGAACATGTAGGTGGCCCACATTATCTTTTCTAGCGATGACACAGCAGCATGTATGGGTTATGCAGAGGTAATATGCACTAAAATATGGTAACTAATTGAATTTGACAAAAAATAATAAAAAAAATCACTCTGTACTTTAAACTCTTAGTGTGATAAAGAAAGAGCGTGCCACAAGTTTTCTATTAGATATGCTGCATATTCACAGATATAGTTAGAAGAGATCCAAGTCAAAATACAAACCAACCCTGGCAGTAATGGTTCCATGCTTTTCTCCTTTGTTATTGATCAGACGGACACCAGCAGATGTGAACATCTCCTTCATCTCTGCTGGTGTAGCTGTAGTGGCAAAATCTACATCTTGTGGTGTCATTCCACTTAGTAAATCCCTCACAGCACCTCCTGCTATCCTCAGCTCATAGTTCTTCTTCTCAAACAGCTCTGGAAAGGAAAGGAAAACCATAAAGCACTCTCTCAAACAAAAACCATAGCACACTGTCAGCCACATCCCATCTTTTCACAGACTAAATCCATAGATGTGGGGATACACACTCAACCACGCAGTAGGCAGCAAATGCCTCACAGCTTCATGCAAAACACACAAATTAGGTATACAGCTGAGCACCTGTATGCATTTTCCCAGTAATTTATGTTATGTTCTTCTGGGGCATTTCCGATAACCTAAATATTAACAGGTTGTTAATTGATCCTGTGAACATTTTTAGCAGTTAGTAGCCAAAGAGGGAAAAGGGCTTAGTTTAGTTATGGTAGAGTGCATCCAAATTTCTTCAAGAACAGTATCATAGAATGGTTTGGGGTGGAAGGGACCTTAAAGAGCATCTAGTTCCACCCCCCCTGCCATGGGCAGGGACACCCTCCACCACACCAGG